GAGAGAGAGAGAGAGAGAGGTTTATTTATGGAGGTAGGGAGAGCATGGCAAGGGCCCGTGGCCTGGTCAGCAAGGAGACAATCAGTTTAGGTGGAAAACAACCAGGTTGAGGGGGTGGGAGTAGGGGCTTGGGAACCAGAGGGAGGGCATGGGTGCTAGCTACAACCCCAGAAGAGAAAGTTCTGTGTCTGATGCCCAAGGTGGGAGCAGACCATTGTCCTCCAGGTGGAATCTGAGGTAGTGTGTATGTGTGAACCCACCAGAACCCCACAAGCCAGTGTTGAGGCCTCCATTACTGCCTGGATACTTGCACCATTTCACCTGTATCCTGAAGCACCCACCCAGGCCCAAAATGTTGACCACAACATGTTGACCACATGCCTCAACTTTTGACTGCCCTCTGCTCCGGGGCCCAGCCCTCTTCTCACTCAGGTGCTGTCAGAAGTGACAGCAACTTTCTCTGCTTTCTATGTAGAGCTTATCAGGCCTGCTGGTGGGCCTAGACCTGCCACTGCCGTTCCTGCAGCTGCCTGAGCCTGACCAGGGTGGTGTCATCCAGCTCCTGGTTCTTGGCCTCTTGTTCTGCAGGTGGTGTGGCAGAGTGTTTTGAGGCTGCAGGAAGTAGGGTACTAGGGTGCTGCATAGGTCTTGTGGGATCCTACTTGGTCTCCAGGCTGGCTCCCATTTGTCTTTTCCTTCTACAGTCTTATCCAGGGAGTTCAAGATGGACTCTAGGCTCTCTTCCTTCATGATTTCTGAGATTTCCTCCTGGATAGATGCCTGCTTCTGCATCACAGATTTCTTAGACCTACTGCATCATCTCAGACTGAATCTGGTAGAAATGTTTGGAACAAGGGGTGACTCTGGTGGCTGCTGATAGCAACTTCTGAAGAAAAGTTGAGGAATTTCACCCTTTGGTGGTGGTGCCAGGTGGCATGGATTACTGAGACGAGACGTCAAAGCTTCTTTTCCGCAGCCGCTGCCTGCTTAGTGTTGCTTGCTTCAGCCACGTTGAAAAGCTTTTGATTTTAATAGAGCAGTTTGTCTTTTCCCTCTCACTCTTCTTCCTGTTCTCCTTTCCATTCTTGCTTTCAACAGGGTCTTGCTATGTTGTCCAGGCCAGCCTTCAATTCCTGCTACAGCCTGTCAAAGTGCTATAGTCATGTACCACCACACCTGGCTCCAATTTGTCAATTTTTTTATGGTTATCATTTTCTGTGTGCTGTGTGGAAAAACAGAATCATGTAACCAATTGGAAAGCAGTTTGGTAGTTTCTTAAAAGTTAGACATTTGCCATGAGTTCTCTAGTTACTTGAGATATTTGAACAAATTCTAAAGATAGTATCTTTTTTTTTTTTTTTTTTTTTTTTTTTTTTTAAAAAAAAAAAAAAAAAAAAAAAAAAAAAGAGGACGATAAATCTTTCACTGTGATATACAGACATCCGCCTGCCTCTGCCTCCCGAGTGCTGGGATTAAAGGCGTGCACCACCATGCCCTGCTAAAATAAAAAAAATTATCAGGGCTGGAGAGATGGCTCAGGGTGTAAGAGCACTAGCTGCTCTTAGAGAGGACCCTGGTTTGCACCCTACCACCCACATGGTGGCTGAAAACTGTCTATAACTCCAGTTTTTGGGGATCTGACACCCTCTTCTGACCTCCACAGGTACTGCATGACACAGGTTCACTTATATATATGCAAGCTATCAAACAAAGATATAATCTTTACAAATTTATGGTCTTTTATAAAATACTTGTCATTTGAGTCAAATTTGTGTATGATACAAATAGGGGCTATAACAGACAAAAAACAAATTGGTATACTAAGATTCCAGATGACAAGATTTCAAACCTTTTCTTGGAGCTCTCACATTAGTGAGTTTTGTTTAATTGACTCTATGTTGTTTGTTTTGATTAGGAGAGAGTAATTGTAAAGGATATCACTTCATGTAGTTCATAATCAGTCTGTCTATAGAATTATCTTTGGAAATTAAATGAAAAACATTAATAGTTTGAAAATACTGTTGGTTTATTTTCTTTGTTCTTGGACATTCCTATTAAAACAATAGTTCAAAAAATACTCGAATGTTTATTACACATCAATGCACAGGTCCACTGTGGAGGAGGGAAGCTTCATACAGGGACTCACTGTAATTTCTGGAACCAAAAAACATGAAAATCTTTCAAGAGGTTTCAAAGAGTGATTATAACTAACAGTGGGACACAATTTTGCTCAAGGATGTATTATTAACCTACTGTTTTTTTTCTTTAATAGGAAAATAAAAAATATTTCAAGCGAAGTGAACTTGCAAAAAAAGAAGAGGAAGCATATTTTGAAAGATGTGGTTATAAGGTCTGAACTCTAGCTTTCATGTTAAATTGTATATTTCTGAGTTTAAATTTATATGGCTGTTGTTAAATAACAAAATTATTGATCTCTGTTCAATTTATCAATGTTGTACATTAGCCTATAAATGCGAAGCCGTCTGGAGAGGTAGGAGGTTTTGGTTTTGCCTTCTTTTATAAACAGGTCTTGAATTCAGGAAAATCTGTGCATGATTTTTGGCTTGGAATGGTTTGGCTTTCTGTGGACAGCATGAACTGCCTTGAGATCAAAGCTTGATTTTTTTTTTTTTTTTAATTCCTAGTTCTGATACTGCCTTATTTTCACCAGCTCTACCCCTTCTCCCTCACCTTTCCCAATGAAACGGTCTGTTTTTTGAAAGAGCTCAGAACATTATACTCACTCAGCTACAGTTACATTAGCAGTGGTGGTGTTTCTGCTTTCTCTCGAATATTTTAAGCAGTTGATTTTATGCTAGTGTTGTTGATAATTCCTTTTGGGCTCCACATACTTTTGCCTGAAATAACAGTGCATATATTTTTGTTTTAACACAGGATAGCATTTCAGATGCTGCTTATGGTTAGAAACAAATGAGTTGTCTAAAAGGCTTTGCTTGTGTATTTTAGAAGTATGACTGAAACTATCTTGAACTTACCTAGATGGTAATGTTCTGGTGTTTTTAATGGGAGGAGTTAAAGTGTATAAGCTTGGAGAAGTTATGTTTCAGTTGTTCCAAAATAAGTTTAATTTTTGTAGTTTAATTTTAACTCATAGTTAAGAAGGGTTTTATCAAAATAAGCTAAATTGTAAATTTGAAATCAACTTTTTGCTTGTGAAACAGTGATATAAAATAATACTCCTGTGCATGTAATGGAGAAAGTTCTGGAAATTAATTTGTGTGGCCTAGCATTTCTAGAAGAAAGCATGAAGAATGCAAAGGGTATGTATGTGCATCTGGCTTTAGTTTTTAGTGTTGGGAACGGGCAAGTATTAAAGGGTATACTTTTTTAAAGTTTATATTGTATTTTGATAGATTTCCATAAAGATGCTGTCCTAGTTTGTTCTTCATTGCCGTGACAAAACACTCTGACCAGTACCAGCTTGGGGAGGAAAGGGCTTATTTGTCTTACATCTCCCAGGTCGCAGTTCATCAGGGAGCCCAAGATAGGAACTCAGGGCAGGAACCTGGAGGCAGGAGCTGGAGCACAGGCCATGGAGGAACACTGCTTACAGGCTTGCTCCCTTGGCCCCTGCTCAGCCTCCTTTCTTATGCAACAAAGGCCCACCTGCCCAGGGGTGGCGCCACCCACAGTGGGCTGGGCCCTCCCACATCACTCATCAAGAAGATGCCCTCAGATGTGGCCACAGGCCAGTCCAATAGAGGAAATTCCCCGATTGAGGCTCCCTCAACCCAGGTGTGTCAAGTTGACACTAAAGCTATCCAGCACAGATGCTGACTTTATTTGCTTCTAGTTGAGGAAATTAAAAGAAATTTTATATAAATAAGTACTGAGTAGATATTTGGAAAGAAGAGTTCTCATATTTTGCTTGCCCCACATTGTACCCATGCTTAACCTAGGATAAGAATCACCATAAGTTTAGTCTGCTGACTTATCTCTAAATAGGAACCTTTTCCAGTCTTCGTTAAGGTAGGAAAGTACTCTAATGCTGTAGTGCTTTTGCTTTATGTAGATCCTTCCAGTGATGGGAGCAGATTTTTTTTCTCTTACATAAAGGAAAACAGTGAAGCAAAATAATTATTATGGAGATAGTGCTATAATTTGGGATCCAACTGACAGAATGTCTTAGATTTTATCTTTTCTCCAGAGCCATCAGTTGTCATTCTATAACTTAAAATGCTTTTATCCCTTAGATTTGGAGAAATGCTCAAGTTCTTAAAAGGAAAAGTAATTTATTTTCTTTAAGCATCTTTCCTAGGACTAGTAACCATTTTAATACTTGGGCTGATTTAACCTGTAAAACTACTCAATAGTTGTTTTTTTTTTTTTTAATTTCTATTTTACCTTAGTGTCAGCTAGTTAGGATAGACACAACCTTTAATCATAAACTGTCAACATAACCTTTAATCATAAACTGTAGCATCATGAATTATATACTTAAAATTTTTTCTTTTTATTATTTATAATTGTGTGTATGTATGTGCATGTGTGTTGTGTGTAAGTTTGTATACATGCATGCAGGTGCCCTTGAAGGCCAGAGGCATTGGATCCCCTGAAACTAAGAGTGACAGGTGGTTGTGAGTTACCTTATATGGGTGCTGGGAATTGAACTGAGGTCCTCTGGAATAGTTTAACCACTGAGCCATCTCTCCAGCCCATTTTTTAAATGGAATAATTGTTTCTTAAAGTACCTCTTTCTGTTCCTTTGATTTTTATTCCTACTTGTGAATTTTAAATTTATCTTGTGATTAGATGAGAAACTATGTTTCAGTATATTTTTCAGACAACACAGTGAGGCTTCTGAATTGCTGCTGAATTCAGTTTTTTCAGCCTGTGTGACTTGGGCTACTTCCCAGATTTGAGAAAATACATGAAGAGATTCTCTCTCTCTCTCTCTCTCTCTCTCTCTCTCATCAGGTTCCTATGAACAAGAACATTCACTCTGTTTGGGTAGCAAGCCTTTTTTCATTCTTTTTCTACAAGGTTTGTAGCTCAGGTGATAGTCCAGTTCTGTTCCGTATAGCTCTGAGAATTTTTCTATGTGTCTAGTAGAATGAAGGCTGGAATAATATGTTTGAAAAAGCAAGCTAGGAAAAAACTCTGACTTGAAGTGTCACAGATTATGGTTGAAAAGCAGTCCTTTTTTCTTTGGTCTTCAGTTTAAAGGTGAGCAACAATCAGATAACCCTTTAAGACAGTTTTCACACAAAGGAGAAACAAATTTATGTTTCTCAAGAAAAAAATATACTACTTGAGCATCTGGAGAGAGAACGAGTGCAGATCTCAGCATTATTGAGAATGCTTTCCCATGAGCATGCGTTCTACTTGGGATCTTCCTGTGATGGATGTTTGATCAGCTCTTGAAAGCATGTACCATTACCATGAGAGCCTTTCCTCAGAGGATCTATATCACTTTTGAATAAACATACTTAATTTCTGTGACTAAGGTGATAGAATGATGAATATTAACTATATTGTTAAATTTGAATTTTTTCTTTGGGCTATTAATATAGATACAGCCAAAAGAGGAGGACCAGAAACCACTAACTTCATCAAATCCAGTACTAGAACTTGAACTAGCAGAAGAGAAACTACCCCTGACTCTTTCTAGGCAAGAGGTAAGTTTAAATATATTTTGTAGATTAAAATATATTTTAATATATTTAAATCTAAAAAATCTTAACTGTTTGCACAAGTTATATTATTTTCCAAATTAGATGACCTGCTGTCTTAAAAATTCTATACAGCTATGTAGGTTTTTTCATGAATTTATATATCTGCTCCTTTTCTTGATAATATTTTTAATTAAAAAGCAAAAAAACAACAAAAAAAACTTTATTAGTGTTTGGGGAGATGGGGCTATACATGTGAAAGTCAGAGGATAACATTGTGGAACTGGTTCTTTCCTTCCACCTTGTATGAACTCTAGGCCTTGAACCAGGGTCTCCAGGCTTGTGTGGCAAATGCCTTTACCTGCTAAGCCATCTTGGTGGCCCATATTCTTTCTTACTCGAGCATTATAAATGTTAAGTGATAAATATATGCATTCTCAATAAGCATAAATTTGTGTATTCTTAGTAATTATCCTTAAGATTTTTCTTTTCATCTAAATTGTTTTAAATAATACCCTACTACCCTCCTTCCTTATTTTCTGGTACATATTTCCAGATTAAAATTCAGAGGTCAGGGGCTGGAGAAAATAGCTCAGTGATTAAGAGCACTGGCTGTTTTTACAAAGAACCTGAGTTCAGACCCCAGTGCCCACATTGGGTGGCTCACAACCATCTGAATTCCAGTTCCAGAGATGGATCCAATGTCCTCTTCTGGCTTCTGCAGGTATCTACATACAAATGACATACATTCATACACACACAGACACACACACTCTCACACACATAAATTTAAAAATACAAAATACAGAAGTTACGTGATTTTCTGTCTTTTACATAGTTTCTTAATGTCTGTATGATTCCTCATTCTGTACTTGTACCATCGTTTGTTTCTTGAGAAAGGGTTTCATGTAGCTTAGGCACACCTCCAGCTTTGCACTCACTATATAGACTAGGTTGGCGAATCTCACAGGAATCTGCCTGTTTCTGCCTCCTGAGTGCTAGGACTAGAGGCGTGTGCCACACACCCAGCTCAAGACACAATTCTTTAAATTCTTTAATAAGTTGGTCTTTGGTTATGTCATTATTACTAATAGTTGTACATCAATTAAACAATATAATATAAAGGAGAGGTTTTGCCCTCAGTTAAAGAGCTTATATTAATATAGTGAAAAAGAACTTAAAGGCTTAAGTATTTTTAACTGAAGTTCCTTTGGCCTCTAAATTTCTTTTTTTTTTTTTTTTTTTGTCTTTTTGAGACAGGGTCTCCTTGTAGCCCCAGCTGTCCTAGAACTCACTATGTAGACCAGGCTGGCCTTGAACTCACAGAGATCACTTGCTTCTGCCTCCCGAGGACTGGGATTAAGGCATGTGCCGCCACACCCGGCTTCTTTTTTTTTTTTAATTAAATTTATGGGGCTGGAGAGATAGCTCAGCAGTTAAGAACACTGACTTCTTGCAGAAGACCCAGGTTGGAATCCTAGCACCCA